GTCACCGATTATTATATTTTTTGTTCATTTTTTTGTATTTTCATCCTTTATTTTTATTTATTTATTTTACAAAATAAAATCAATGCATAATTATTAATGCATTTAATGTCTAATAAAATTGTACATTTAAATTATTTATAACTCATGTCTCTTCATCTTACTTGCAACTTCTAATCTTAAATATTATTAATAACTTTTGTATGTTTCATTTTTCATAATTCTTATAAATATTTAATTAGTGTTTAAAAAATTATAATAAACAAATGTAATAATAAAGACACAAAAAAAATCAATTTATTTTTTACAAAATTAGAATTTGTATAGAAAATTAGTACTCCTACAAAAGATAGAGGAAATTAAAACATACAAAATATTTTCAACATAATACAATATATTGTTATTTCAAAATATTACCTCTTATTCCATTTACTTCACCACGATGAATATTTTGTTCTACTATGTACATATGAATAGTTTGCACTTAAAAAGATGCAAAGAGAAATTCTATTTTATATGTTTAAAAAAGGATGAAAAAATGCATCATATCGCAGATGAAGAGAAATAGCAATATTATCTTATATATCCGATACAAATATAAATATAAATTTTACATATTGTTATCTTATAAATATTTTATATAGCCGCACGAAGCGCAGACACTTTCACTAGTACAAGATAAGGTGGAACCAAAAGAAAGTAAGAGTAAGAATATTAATAAGAAGTAATCTATTTACTCAAAAAATGGAGTTTTACTTGAACCATGTTACTCTTGGTAAATCGGAATTAATATGAAGTTTCTTGGTTTAGTAATATATATACTGTCTTAATTACGATTATCTTGAATAATTGTATTTTTGCATATGCTATATCTTAATTAATTTTTTTTTTTTGCCAAATAGTTAGTGAATAGCTTCACTCTAATTTAAGTATGTGCTTTATGACAAACGAAAACATATAAAAAAATAATTTTAACATAATTTAATCATTTTAGATCGATATCGATCATGTGATTTAACTTTTCTCTATTAGCATTTAGATATACACTATATTTGTAACAACTAAAAAATTAATCAACATCATACTTTCTCAGTATCTGATTTTGATATAAGTAGAAGATAAGCACAACCGCATTAATGAAAAACAAAAGATAAGTAAACAAGAAACTAATGAATTAGTAATCTTTTGGGTTTACCTTTTATCATTTTTGTTAGTACTAATTTTCATTCCTATGTTATATCAGCGAAAAAAAAAATTTAAAAATCTCAAATATCTTAATAATTCACCCCTAAATAAAATTAACTATGATATTTCGTCGTTTAATTATAAATTTTATTCGTCGCTTATTTCTGTTTTTTAATAACTAATTACATTTACGCCTATTATATTTTCTGTAGTCTTTTAAATAACCTGCTAAAATACCACTTACCAAAAAATGTAAAAATTAAGTTTTAATGCTTGGGACTCGAGTTAATTTCCCTTAGCTAAAGAATAAGATACCAAAATAATCTCACCCACAAATTATGGAACTACCAATTCTAGAAGACTAGAACTTAGCCAAACGGCGTCGTGGCTTTTTCCCTGCCTTAGGTAAGGATTATCCCTGTAATTTTTCACCCCTAACTTCTAATCTCTCGTTCCATTTTATGTGACATATTTTACCTTTTAATTTATATCAAAAATATATATTTTATTATAATTTGAAATAATTTAATTTTAAAATAAACAATGTCACGTAAAAAGAGATAGTGTATTAATTTTTCGTTTTATAATACTCAAGAGATAGAGTGTATGCGGAAATTTGGGTTGAATTGAGGGGCAATTACGGAACAAAAAATAGTATATATATAGGCATTGAGTGCAAAACGTTTGGTTTCTCAGTCGAAAAAAGATCCGAGCGAAGCAGAGCAGAAGTTTCCGTTATCCGTTTCTCTTTCCCTCACCATTGGTTTTCTCTCTCCATATCTAAATCACCCAATTGCTTTCTCTCTCTAAATTCTTGAGATATTCATCTCATCAATTTTAGGGTTTTTGATCCAATTTCACTCATCAACAATGGTTTCCGATTCAATCCCCAAAGTTTCGATCCCTATTGCTTCCTCTAACCCCAAAGATTTTGCCAAGAAAAAAAGGGTAAATTTTGTCGCATATTAGTTTGTGTTTTCAATTGCTTTTTTTTATACTGTATTGGTAGTTTTCTTTACGATTGAGTTGTATTTCTGAGATTTGTTCTACGAATTCAGGCTAATCGGTCGGCGAAGTTGAAGCAGTCCAAGCTTGATGCTCGACGCGAGCAGTACCTTTCACAAGGTAGCATAAGATTTCCTTCTTCTTCTTTTTTATCAGTTTCTCAATGGTTTTGCATGTATATGTAATCTGCCTTTTCGTGAAATTTCTTCCCCTTTTCAATTTTGTTCTTGCTTTAATTGCATGATTGCGTCTCTGAGTATATGTGATTATTAAATTGAATTTCTTATGTCTATATTTCTTAAATCTTGGCGATTGGGGTTTTGTATAGTGAAGAACAAAGGTTTGAAGGAGGAACCAAACACTGGAGGAACTCATGGTTCAGCGAAGAATGTTGCGAATGAGAGGGAACGATTGATTGAGAAGTTGCAGATAAAGCCAATAGGTGAAGAGGACAATGAAGGGTCCTTAAACCACTACAGTGATTTTGATTCACCTACAAGCCACACCAGTAGTGTTTTGGGAGGAAATGATTCAGGGACTAATTTCACAGGAAGCAGTAGAGGCAGTAGTAGCAGCAGTAGCAGTGGTGGATGTTGTTCAGGGAGTGTGAGCGAGGAAGATGAAGAAGCAGAGGATGATTGCTTGGATGATTGGGAGGCTGTTGCCGATGCTCTGGCTGCCACTGATAAAAAACAGGAGCAGCAAAATCCCAGCTTGGATTCACATTTTGAGAGGAATGAGAATATGGCACATATGAGTTCTAGGCAAGAGGTTTCTGAAAGGCAGGGTTCAGGGATTGATAGATCAAAGCAGGAGTGTAATGACAGAGGATTGACACCTAGACCTCCTCTCAGTTGCCAGGCATGGAGACCCGATGATACATTCCGTCCGTCGGGTCTGCCAAATTTGTCGAAGCAGCATAGTTTCCCAATGAATTCTGAGCGGCATTGTAGGAGGGACTCTGTATGGGGATGTAAAACTTTAGCCACACCCACATTGTGTCCTATATGCTGTGAAGATTTGGATTATACAGACACGAGTTTTCTCCCTTGTTCGTGCGGATTCAGGCTTTGCCTCTTTTGTCACAAGAAGATTCTCGAGGAAGATGGGCGTTGTCCAGGGTGCAGGAAACAGTATAACCAGGAGGCAGTTGAGCGAGAGGCAACCATTGATGGAGGCAGACTGACGATTCGATTGGCTCGTTCCTGTAGCATGATATCAAGGTCCTAGGAAGATTCTGTTTCCATGGATGTGTATGTTGGGTCCTTTTCTGTCTCTGCATGACATTGTGAGTGTTTTAATTCTTAGCAGACTGTGAGTCAAGATAACCAACCCATAGCTATAGATGTTGGTATAGAATGTGATTTTGGAAGCTCAGGGGAATGTTCTGGTTTCTTTATGATCTTTTGCATTATAGATGTGGTGCTTGTGCTGATGTAGAACACTCATTATGTGAATAAATAAGGTGGTATTGAAGTTAAATATATTGTGCTTGTAATTCTATCACCCTTCTATTTGATTATTATTAATATGTGTAAATAATGAAGTAGCAATTTGAAATTACCAAGGTTATTAAGAAATGCTTAAACTTTTGGCAGATAAAGAATGAGAAAGTATTCTGCTACTAGTATTCCAAATCTTCCCTTTCCTTGTGCTCTAGTATAAATGCTTGAACTTTTGAGAATAACAAATATATATAATCGTTTACCATCAATTAAATAACAAAAGTGGATAGATATATTTACCATTTCATAAGGAATCATTCTTAGCAAAAATCCGATGTGTTGCATTTATAAATAATTAAGAAAAGCATAGTAAATAAATTGGGAGAAATACTGAGAGAGGTTATAGGCTTCTTTGCATGGTTATTTGTCATGGCAACTATTTATAAAAACGCCAATCTTGAACTAGGGATTGTTGGGAGAAAAGTATTTTCAGTTTTTGTTCTTTTCTTTTCGTTTTTGCTCTCTTTATTTCGGAACTTGCTTTCTCTAAAGCAGTTGAAACCCTTAGTTTCAGACTTTTATGTCATGTCCTTAGTCTTTTACTAAGCACACGTGCGTCACTTGATAATTTGCTCATGTTCTTGCTAATCAGCCTAAGAATCTAGGAATCGCTAAGAGAATAGAAGAAACTATGCCAAATCAGCCTAAATTCTAGGAATCGCTAAGAGAATAGAAGAAAGAACACAAGAAGATTGTTAGGAAGAATTGTTTAGAGAATTTTGATTGATTTTTGCTTGATGATTTTACAAATGGATGCCCCTCTATGTATACTACTAACTTGGGAGCTAATATGTAAATAATAATTATTAAACAAGTCCTTACATATATACAAATAACTCCCCTTTCTGGCTTTCTAGAATCTACACAACTAGAATATTCCAAGGACCTTCCATGTAAATCCATGGGATTCTTAAGTCTTTCAAGGGATTTCTCCACATATCTCTAGAACCTTCCCCTAAGAACTAACCTTCTTCCCGTGTAAGCCCTCCGCATGGGCAACTTTGTGTCATGTGGCACTTACAACTTATGTGGCATGATGACGTGACTGGTCATCACATTTAACTGTATACCTCTCTTCTTTTATTCCTTTATCAAATATTTTTAGTACTTCCTGAATATTGTTAACATTTGTATTTATTTTTTTGATGAAATTAAGATTTGTAATTGTATCCCAGTATGGTACCCATTTCAATGGAGAGGAAATGATTTTTTTTTTTTTTTTTTTTTTTTTTTTTTTTTTTTTTTTTTTTTTTTTTTTTTTATATCTTAAGAGTGTTGGTGATACATTGTACAGGTAAGGAGAATGTTGTTGGGATTTACTGAAATATTGCAAATCCTTCTCTTTAGATTTATTTGAGCAACATAGTTAATTTTTTGGGTCAATGGAGCAGTCCTGGATGGATGTGAAACTTTCTGGAGTCAACAGCGATAATTAGGCTTTCAAATGTGTATCTGTAGATTTCTGACTTAGGCCGTCTGTATCTCTATATTGCTGCTCATTTTTATTTGTCTATGAACTTTGAATCAGGTCTAAAAGCCCTTTAATGTAATTAACCACATAACAAGCTGCCTGTCTTATATCTCTTATTATTTTGCTTCCAAAAATTGCCTATGATGCTAGTATGAAGCTATTAGTAATCATCAGAGTGGCGTTCAACATTATCTAATGAGATGTTTGAAATGCTTGGCATCTATACATGTGCCAAAAAAACTAAAACCACCTTTCCCACTGCTATAAAGGAACAGGAGAGCGTTTTGAAGCAGCAGAAAACTCCTAGTACAAATTAGAGGAATGTTGTGTGTATTTTGGAGCTATATATTGTATTAGAAATTCTTTTCACCCCTCCTATCCAGTGAATATGAATAAATGATGAGAAACAAACTGGCATTTGCTAACTACAAGGCTCTTGAGCAGGTCTGTTGCCTTTAGTAGTCTTCTTTTCACCTAATTTATAGTGACATCCAAATTTATCCTTGGCATATTTTGGGGCTTTTCGTTTAGTAACTATAGGTTGATAATCTTTTGTCTGTATCGTGTTAGTTTAGGTTCTCTTGGGAAATCCTAGACTTCTTTTGTGCTTTTGGGAGAAATCTTGTAAGTTGAGGTTCATTAAGTGGAGTGGTCTTACTTATTCATAGATCATTTTAAATGTGTTCAGTTCTAATGTTGCTAACCTCTTCCTCATCTGGTGTCCATTTTGGCTGTCTGACGGTTCTATAATGATATTGCACATTCAATTTTTACAAGGGTTGTGGGCTTCCAGAGCATTATGTTTCTTTCCCATCTGCTTCTAAACATAGCCATTACAAGTCAAGTAGAGGGGCTCTAATGATTGTTTCAATGGGTGCTGTTCTCGCCATAAGATCATGTAAGGAGTGGGTAAAGCTAAATGACACCTTCTGATGACGTATTTTTGGTCAAATTTGGCTTTCTTGTTATCTGAGATTGTAGGAAAGAAGATTCAAAGTAATAAAGCCAATCTTGTCAAGTCAACCTTTTTATATATTAACAAAGATTCATTTGACATCTTCGTCTGGAAAACGAAGATTCATTTAATAAGTCAAGCCTATAGCTAAACTTTATTTAGTTTCCTTGGATAGACATAGGATGAAAAGATTAATGCTACTTCAAACATCTTTCCAAGGATTTCAAAATGCTTAATGCGGCTGGATTTCATTGAACTTTCTTGATCTGCACCAATTTGTATTTTCTGAGTCGCAATCTAATTTATTTGACTTCGTGCTCATTGGTTGCTTGTGAGGAATATTTTGAGTGTGTAGTTATTTTGTCCATTGGCAGCACGTCCTTAAGGCTGGAGTCATTCTCAAAGGTAGTCGGAGGTATGAGTTATAACTAAAGTTGCATCAAATATTCTGTCTTGTAAACTGGAGGATCCTCTTTCTGGTATTAACAGTGTATTTCTCTCCTAGAAGGCAGTCTAACCTCCCGTCCAACTTTTTGTTTATCCATGTCTTAGATGAAAAATTATCAAAGAAATATATGTTTGATCTTATCCTCATTTAGGACTACTTTTTTCCAAATTTTTTTTTTACTCGTTCACGAGAGGAAAATGGAGATGTAACAACTACTACCTATTTAGCTTAGAATGGTGTTTTTTTACAAGGAGAACGACAGGAAGCTTATCAATAATGGATCTCATCAATCAATCAACTGCATCTTAATACCAAAATAATTGGGTCGGTTATATGAATTACTCATATCCATTCCTCTGTTGGGCTTATTTCATTTCATACTAAAATAATGTGTCTCTCAAGACGAACTAGAGGTATTAAATCTTGAGCTTCTCTACTCTTATACTTATCATGGCAAGTCTCCACCAGCACCAGATTTGATGTAAGTATGACAACATCACAACTAGTCTTATTTCAACTAATTGATTTTGCTTATATATTTTTTTTTGATAAAAGTAACAGTTAGTCTATATTTATCCACAGGTATACTACCTCAAAAGTGTAGTTCCCCTCCAAAAGTGTTGTAGTTACATAGGCTCCTATACCTACCAAGTTACAGCCAGTCTATAGTTGTGCTGATTACTTCTGAGCTATCTAAGACTACTTGTTTACACCAAAAATAATACAGAGCTAAACAGTTAGGCTTAAATCTTTGTATGTTGCTCTGCTTTCCTTCATGACATCCCCTAGCATTTTCAAACCACATAATCTCAAGTTCTAGCAAATGCAAGGACATGTATAATGAATTCAAAACTTCTGTCATTGTGTTATAATAATACTAAGGCAAAGGTATACAGGTAATCAAAGATAGAGTAGCATACTCTTTTTTCAATTCTTCCACCTTTGCACGAGACTGAGCATCATACTCAAGCAGGATGCATTGATCTGATAATTTTCTCTTTGAACCTGAGATAGAAGACGATTCAACATGGCCATTGGATGTATCCCTGTATGCAGAAGTTATTGCTGCCAGGCTTTCACTATTCTCCCCATTATTTCTATGCAGACTTCCCCTCGAGGTATCCGTTGCAACACTTTGGATTTTGCCATTTCCATTTGCTAAAGATGATGATCTAGTCACCTCTTTGTGGTATGAATCCTTTCCTGCAGCCTTTCCATTACTTCCACCATAATCTTTAAGGGGACCATCTGCTACAGGGCTGGTTGCTACAATTGGAAGTTTTTCATTTCCATTTCCATTTGTTAAGGCATGTGATCTTGTCATTTGGCCATTACCACAACTTTTGCTAACACCATTCCTGTCTGGTAATGATGTAATCTCTTTCTCTGTAAGAACTGATGCTCTCACATCACCAGTTCTATTGCCAGACTCTTTTGAATGAAAAACCATTTTGATATTACCAGAGGTAGGTCTCTTGAAGGAAGATCTTTCAAATATGCCCAACTCTCTCACTGGGCTCGAATGCACTTTACTGACCTTAGACGTCATTACATTTTCTTTCTCGGAGGGGTGGCCTAAAACTTGCTTTTCGTTTTCTGCTTTTGCTAAGTCACTGGTCAAGATTTTGGATTTAGCCAAGCCATTGGAGTGATTGGATTTTGACCCATTAATTGATAAACATGTCTTGGTGGGTGGTGACCTCTGTTTGGTACGAGAGAAGAAAAGGATGTACACCTTCTCCGACAACACTTCTTGCAAGATTTTAGGAGAAACGTGAGAATCATTACAGCAGTACCAACGACCCACAGCATCCTGTTAAACAGCCAACCAAAATCAAAACACTAACAATTGGGTAACATAAAACCTTTGTTGCTCGGACTCTTCAAAAATGCCAACAGGTGCGTGTCGGATTCACCAAAAGTAGTGTATTTTTGAAGAATCCGAGACGGGTGCAGCATCAAAAGTGAAGAGTCCGCGCAACTAAGCATAAAACTATGATTGCCTGTATCATCTAACTACTATCATCTTTTACAATACCAAGTAAGGAATAAAGAATGAAGAAAAAGTTGAGACTCTTGAAGGTCTGGCTAGACAGACAGTTCTTCCCCAGTAATGCTGTTGACACCACCTTTCTGCCATATTTTGCTTATATATGGCATTTGCTTTCTTTGTGTTCTGCTGTTAGTTAAGTTTGCATAGTTTTATTACTTATAAGAGATTGGAGATACCTTGAGACTTCCCTTTGAGTAAGTTTTGTTCTACCTCATTTCCATTTATTACATTCATTTCTAATGTGTGTGGAGGTTTACAAGGGCTCAGTCAAACCATGTTACCCTCTGCCATTTGTCGGACGTGATCATTCATCTTAACATTCACATTTTTACCTATAGTTATTTACTCCCATAGTTGGTCTCACAACTGTTCAGCCTGTCATTTATCTCATATTGTATTTTCTTATTGCTTAGCATCTTTTTAACACTTCCATTTTAGCCATGCTATTTTTATTCAATGTGTTACATCTTTATTTATCATTACATTTTATGCAAAATTGGGTCTAGATGTCTGAATACATCTCATAGGTCTAAAGATTCTTTAAGTGTAACAGACCCAAGTAATTGCCAAATCTAGCCCCAAAAGAATAAATTTCCAGTTGATTGCTTAATATATGCCTTTAGACTTGCTATAACAAGCTTCTTGTGTTTTTCATCCTCCATAAACCATTTTCTCTCCATCTATGAAATTTTTTAAAGTTTTTTAACTTCTTTTTTTTTTTGTGCAAGTGATATTGGTTTGGGAGAACTTTAAATGGAACAACATGGTCCGTGAGGATTTATATAGCCGAACTCAACTTGATTGGAATTGAGGCACAGTAGTTGTTTTTTATGAACAACTTTCTGCCAGATATAAGTCGTTCTAGTTTACCTTTTCTGGACATGCTATCAGAAGCTTTTTATATTTTTTCTTTTGGAAAAAATAATCACTCTATAAATCAGTTTCTCTGTGTCATTCTTGATCTGGTAACTTGCAGTGGAGATTCATTCTGAACATTGTAGAAGTTATTGTGATTAAAAAGATCATCCATGTATCTGCCCTAAAGGAAAACTGTATTTCTTTTTTGAATCTGTACTCTTTTCCTCTATGTCCGTATCCATCTCTGGTTGCGTTATAAGTCTGTTAACTGCCTCACCATGTGGATATTCCTTGAGAACTGTCTACTTATTCTGCCCATGCAGACTTGTGGAGCTATACTTGTAAACAATGATTGATATTTTATGGATTACGAATTTACGATTGCTACTTCTATCCTTCTGCCAGGATAACTGTCATCTGTACCTACATTTTTCAACTGGAACAAAGATTTAAGAGAGTGCAGTACATAGTATTCAAGGTCTAACAGTACAAATCAGATTCATTTTCTTTGAAAAATCTTGTGTTAATAGAGTAGTGGATGGACTAAAAGCATTCTTTCTGCCATTTCTAGAGATCCAAAAGTCGGCTGGACTATTTATGTCCCCAACCCCCAAACTTTGTTAGCTAGACTGCTTTTTGTTGTTAACCTAATGGACTGTAATTTCTTGATAACTGGCAGGTGAGTTTATTTTAGATGCGTCTTCTCATCACATGCTGTGTTGTTGTTCTGCTTATATCTTTCTCTCAATTTCAGAGAAGAAAAACAGACAAGAGAGAGGTTGAATGGTTGCATATGCAGAGCCCCCTTACTCCATCCGTTTCAATTTATTGTATTTGTCTTTTTTTTAGGCCGTTTTAAAAAAGAATGCCTCTTTCCTGTTTTGGTAACTCTTTTATTTTGAACTTTCCCTTTGAGGCCGTGACATGTTGAAAACCACAAGATTATAGGATATTTAGGTACATTCTACACTTACTTTAGTTTAAGATTACAAGATTTAAAATCTTCATTTCTTAAACTTCATGTCAAGTCAAAACCAGGCAAACAAATTGAAACGGAAGGAGTATATACTAGCATCTGTATGTATTTTATGGTGAGTGTTTTTGTTGACATCTATATCTTTGTTGGCATTCTGGTTTTTTGGTTGATTTCATATTTTTGTTTTCCTGTTCTGTATCTGAAGTATATACATAGTATTGGCAAAGCGCCATAACTTATTACTAGCGTCATTACCATCAAGATGTTAGTCTCATGAGACTTTAAACAATTAATAATCATTTCTGGGTGTCATTCCCATGATATTTTGACCATGTCTAATCATTTCGGAATATTAGGGGTCTCAACGAAGGCAAGTGCAGAATTCCAATAAAATATTGATATAATAAACAAAAAGTGACATGTAAATTGAAATGGGTGGAAGTATGTTTTCCCTTTAAAATGGCATTTATTTTGAAAATTAGGTTAAACTCCTTTTTTGTAATTTTAGTAAAAGAAATTGAAAAAAGGAATGTTTGGTTGAAGAAAATCATTGCAAAAAACACTTTTAAACAAGCTGGGATTGGTCGTCAGCCACCAGCTTCGAGTGTGCTGGACGATATGTAGGATATGCTTACTTTGATGTTTTTGTCTCGTATTCCTATTTTTAAGTTTTATTTGTTTTTTCTAGATTTTGCTGGAGAACCGGTTGTGCCTGGGATGGGTTAGTTAACAAGTAATTGAAGGATCTGCAGTATGCCTTCAGTTTGAGTATCCATGGGGACCTTTAAGAAACATTCATTCTTCATACGACTTCTGGGGTGTGTTTGGTATGGAGGAAAATGTATTCTGGAAAATAAGTGGGTTATTTACCTTCATTAGGGAAGTTATTTTTGAGAAATTATTTGACCAACCGAACATGGGAAAATTGGAAAAACTTCTCTAGATAATGTTTTCCTTCATACCGAACACACCCTTGATGAAGTCTGAAATTCTAGTCTTCTTCAGTGTCCCTGAAGCTCTAGAGTCACTCCTCAAGTTGAGAAGAATCATTGTAGAGAACATTGCTCTTTACCTGATCCTAGTGCCTGAACAACAAAGTGCCTCTACCTGCCTGAAGTAAGATTGTTTATTCTCTTTCTGGGAAGGAGCAGGTAGACCGGTATATTAATGTGATATTCCAAATATGAATAAATGGCAAGTTTAGTAGTAATAGTTTTTGACAATCTACTCTTCTAAAAGTGAAGTAATATGAGTAATGAAGTTCCATCAGAAATCATTCTCAGATTCACTACTTACTATTTCTGGTGTAAAGTATGTTCTCAAGTTATGGAACCTCACAGGAGTTATTGGTCTTGGTGATCGGGGTGGTGGTGATGACTCTACAGTTGCTGCACTCTTCTTCTGTACTTTCTTTGTGATATCAACACACACCTTGTCAACCATGTCGAGAAAGTCTTTCACAAATGCAAACAACTGAAGTGACTGTGTGCCTTTTTCCTTCGAAGTTCCTGCTTGGTAATACTCTGTCGTTCTCTTGACAAGTTCCATGACTCTTGTTTGTTCTTCTCTGATCACCTTGAGTTCCTCTTCACATTCCTCTAGAAAACCTTTAGTCTCTTTTACAAATTGATCCTTTTCAGCAATTCCACAACACGTTATGAGCTGCTGAACGTCATTTACCCGTGTTGTAAGAGTGGAACATGTATTGATGAAACTATCGTAGTCTATGGTAGCTGCTTTCTTTACATTAGAGAATTCGGAACTTAATCCTTGCAATACTGGTAAACCTAGTGTTAGGTGCTCAGTATCTTTCTCTACTTTTTCCGTTTTTCTATCGGAATCATCCTTGTGACCTTTATTGATAAGGCAACGTTTACCTTCAGAACAGATGACTTGTTCGACTACAAAATGAAGCAGAGTAGTCTTTCCATCATTGCTTTTCACATATGATAGTTTTTGTAAAGCACTAAGGTTGAATCCCTGAGCATTTCCTCTAGCCGTTCCTGCATTCATCCGATTGCCAGCCTTAAGAATCGCTTCCAGAAGTCTTATGAAAATTCTACTTGTTCTCAATTCCTTACAACCCAGCTCAATTGTTTGCAGATTCTCCTTGAGGTTAAGAATTTCTGGATCATAGTTTGATCTGAAAAGCATCGCGTTGAAACGTTTAAATGCAGAAGGAACAGCTTTCAGCATTTGGTAGAGGAAAGACTCCGCGTCAGCAAGTTTTCTTGTGTTACCATCAAATTGAAGGATTTTTGACGTTTCTTCTTCAGTTGGGCGAATCTTGGTTAGTTTTTCTAGAGTGTCAACACTGAGTCCTTGGCCCTCCGTCAGGGCATCAAGAATTTCTTTGCGAGAGACTGAAAGAGACTTTAGCACAATTGCTGTGTTCTGTGACTTCCTAGGATCGAGGATAAACATTTGAGTTGGTCGAGCCAACTTAGAAGTGCCTGAGCTTGTTGTCGCCCTATTTCCTTCAGGGGTTCTATTGGAAGTGACATTGTATCCAAAAAGAACTTCCATCAGGTCATCTTCAAATCTGAAATGTGCATACAAATGCAGTTTATTAGTTGGACTCAAAATAGGCGCTAACTGCACTACAGGGACACAATTTTACATGCCAAGGTGCACTTACCGGAAAGATCCATTGTTGATTTCATCCCAGACCATAGAATGATCAGCATTAGCAACGACTTTATCCCAGTGCAGTGGCCTCAATTTGACTTGAGTTTCACCGTTTTCGTTTGACTTCTCTTCGTTTTGAGCTTCTGCTTTATCTTTCCTGCTCCCTTTCCCTCTTGGTGCAATAGGTGGTTTTATCAATGAACTTAAACCACCACCCTTTGGTGGGGGTGGTGGAGACGATTTTATCTTTCCTGCATTAGGTGGTGTTGGTGCTTTGGCAATCCTCTTCATTGGAAGGGGAGGCGGAGGAGGTGGTGGTGCTGGTGGAGGTATTGGTAGCTGAGGCGGAGGAGGTGGTGGAGCTGGTGGAGGTATAGGTGGCTGAGGCGGATTTTGACTCGAGACAAGTGCTAGTTGAGACGGTGTTTCTGGCTGAGGCGGAATGATTTCCTTTTGTTGAAACTGTAATGAGGTTGATGGCTGTTTTGAAGATCTGCTTGCTGCAAAGAGTGAGTTAGTTGTTTGTTGTGATGCAGTAACTGCCTCTTTATTCTCATAGCTACCTACATTGCTACAATTTTGCAGTAAAGGCATTTCTTGAATGTGATCACTTGAAACTGGTTGCTCTTGTCCGCTATCAATCCTCTTCTCTTCCTCCTCATCCTCATCCTCATCCTCATCCATATGATTCACCCAAATCTTAGAAAAACAACTTCCTAGTTGGCTACCTTCGAATCTTCTCAAATATATAACATCAAGCCCGTTTTCATCAACTATCAACCCTTTTAAAGCCCCAGTTTGCTGGAATTCTTGATGAGGCATTTCTCTACGAAAACTTGAACTCAACTTGTTTTTCTTCCATCGACGAATTACATAATATCTATAGAAGAAATAAAATAGTATGCCAGCAACTACCAAAGTAGATACAACTGCAGCTATAACAGCCTTCAGAACTACCTGATTCTGAGAAGAATTTGTTGGAGGTGGCCCTGGTGTATTCATTACAGCCAAAAAGTGAGTAGATAAAACTAATCAGTGAAAGAACTGGTATACATAAGATCAATCAAGCTGCTGTTGACAGAGGAAAGAAGTAGAAAAGAACTGTTGGAATGAATTCTTGGTTGGACCATTTTCTGATCAAAGTGAAGGAAAGAGTTTCTTCTTGTTTATATTTTACAATGACATATTCATTTTGTTATCATCTTTGGCTGCTTGACAGTTTCAAAGTAGGTTGTTGCTGTTAGTTGGCTGTCTTTAAACCTTGCAAGTCCTTTGGTAGAAATGACATTATTGTTTTTTGTCTAGCTGCAGAGGTGTTAAATGGGAGATCAAAATGGGCTAAACTAACAAATGGACGAATAATTGACTTGCCCAAAGGTTACTAGGGCTGCTGAAATGAGATGGGTCAAAATGGGCGAGTAATTGACTCATCCAAAGCTGAAATGGGTTGAGTTATATATCAACCCAACTTTTATATGAATTGAATTTGTTATAAATGAGCGAGTCATTAACCCTCCAACGCCAAATTCAGGCGGATTGAACAAGTCTAAAAATCAAGAAAGCTAGCCTTGGGGGTTTAGTGGAACTGTGTAAGTTTTGGCAACTTTGAAATTTTTGTATTTTGTGTGTTGTAGTCAGACGGTGGTTGGTATAAGAAAAGTTTTACCTAGTCATATACTCTTCTATTGTAAAAGAGGACATCTGTGTCAATGTGATATTACATTTTCAACAAACAAATAGAAGATGATGATGTTATTCCCTTTTTATAAGGAAAATGTCGTTTTCTTCTTTATTTTATCCAATTAGTTGTCATCATTGTATAATTTTGACATTAATCGGATTTCAAATTGAGATATATTTCGAGAGGGAAAACCAACTTAAAGGTAATTAATTGTCAGCGGGCAAGTGACAACAATGTTTCGACCCCTCTCTTTTTTTTTTGAACTTGTGCCGTTGTAAAGTATTTCTTGAGTTATTTTTGGGCAGTTTAAGTTGTTTTTTTTACATTTTTCTAACTACTCTATGTAGGTGTTTATTAATTTGACATAATAGTTGGCATGAGGAGGCCATATTTGTAGACACTAATCAATTTCAAAATTTTGGACCACTACCAAAATGACCTAAATATTCCTCCACCATCGTAGATGAAAGAGGAAAGGTACGTTACACTTCATTAAATACTCAATTTATTAGTTTCAAACAGAATACTCTAGTAATCTTCATGTTCTAATTTTTATGACTTGGTTTTTTTCTAGTTTAAAAAAATGACATATTTTTATATTCAGTGATAATTTAATTTTTAAATACCAATTTTATTTTTAATAAAATGATTTTTAGCTACATAAATATCTATACTTAATTTAGATGATAAGTTTTAAGTGTTTTTCTAATTTTCTTAAATTTCGTGTCAATTCAAAATGTATCATATAAATTTGGACAGAGGAAGAACCCCATATTAATTTGTTTGTCCTATTTTCTTTTTAATCCATTTTTTTTTTGTCGACTCTTCATAAATTAGCATGTTTAAGACTACTGAATTAAATGACGTTTTGGTACATTTGACATAAACGATGGACTATATTTTGAAAAAATTTCAAATCAATTTCAAGGAGCCATAGCAGGGCCGACTCAACAGCCTAAAGCGAAACTAAAGAGAGGGGTCTTAATATATATTTTTTATCATATATACTTTTATTTAAATGTACTTTTCTAGCTATTTTAGATGCGAAATCATTAAGTATTGTTTATAATCAATTTGTTTTAATAATTCCTTTTCAAATGATAATAGCTAATTCATTCAATCTCTCTTCAGAGTTGAGACATTGTTGATCGTAAAGAAGATTCAATCAATTTTAATTTCAAAAAAACTTCTTTCGGGTGATGCAACGGTTAACATTATTCTATAAGTGATATGTGTATTTGAAAAATAATCAAGTCTTTTTATTTGATTGAGTATTTTCATTAGATCATTATCTTCTACTTGTGTTATTTCTCTTAACACTCTTAATTCAAAAAATAAATCTAAACCATCAATATCAGAATAACTATTACGTGTTAAAGAAAATTCAAAGTTAACACAATATTTTTTAAAATTCTCATCACCTAGAAATCTCAATATTTACCACTAAATAAGAAATCAAAAACATTTTCATATGCTTCAATTGTTTCAAATCTATTTTGAAATGAAAAAATAGTTTAATCTTCTCTACATATATAAAATAATCAACTCTAAAAGTTTCTTCAATGGACTTTATGATTTCGTTATTCATATTTTCATCAAATTATTTTTTTACTAAACTGAGGTTATATTCATCTCATATGCAATTTCCTTAGTAGAAATTATAGCACTCACAGTACATATAATTTTTTTTGAAAAAATAACATACATAAGTAATTATTTTTAAAAATGGGGAACTCAAAATATATGGGACCCCAAGCGATGACTTTAGTGGACTAGGGGTTAAGACGGCCCTGATCCATAGTAAACAGAGATTTTCTATTAGAGTTTACAACTTAGCGGTTATAGTTCCAATCTTTTAATTGAAAAGATTTTAAAAAAATGTCTCTAATATATTGATGATGACTTACATGTATACTTCGTTTACTTACCTATTAGATTCAAATTGCTCTTAACGTGAATTTTCAGGTTAAAAATACCTTTTTTCATCTATTATATCCCAATTGCCCTTTACGTTTAAAATAATGTTGCTCCACTTAATGAGATTATGAGATGGTTTATGTGGAATTTTAATTAAATATGTGGTGCTGATTTATTGGTTCCTACGGAGAGAGAGAAAAATAATTCTTATTAATTGGTAATAATTCTATTGTTTTAGGGGGACTAAACGTAATAATAATTATATTGTATTATCGAGCAATGTAAGAGTTAATAGTCCATAGGACCACATTTTTCCTTTTTCAAAATTTTAATTAATGTTATTTAGAGCAGTAGGTGTGCAGCTCCGTTGTTCAGCCGAACACCACTAAATCCTTATATTCTACTAATTATTAATTTTCTTCTTCTTTTATTCCCCTATAGGTTATAGCCTAAAGTTTATTAATTGTTACCTAAACGACTACAGTTTCCATAGTTAAATATTTGCAAATTTAGCATCGCACTTGAAGTAATACAACACAATACTTCCTCTGCAATATAAATATGAATTAATTACATTACGTCAATATAATATGAGTTAACTTTTTAAGTTCGGAAATTACGTCGAATTCGCTTGGAATATTAAAGCAAGAAAGCAAGCCAAAGAGTATAATATACAAAGTACAAGTAGTTTTTTGAACTGCAAATTAACTTCACTATTAGATGTTATGTTTTACTTCTTGAGAGTTAATGTGACTAAAATCTTTGATGCTATAATAGATTAGGTTAATTCAATATTTTAAAGTTTCAATTTAAATATTTAAGAAACTACACGAAAAAGTACACTATGGAAGGGAGGGGATATCAGTTACTTAATAGCAACGATGTAACCATGCTAAATTCAACTTAAAATAGTGTTTAAGTTTCATATTTAAAACTTCACCTACCAAGAAGTTTCTATCCGACCTTTTAACTATTTAAAAAAAAGGCAGTCTTTGAAAATACTTTTTATGAACATATTTTATACATTGGAGAAAACAGAAAAAGAGACTATAAGGGGTCGTTTGGTCGAGTGTATTAGTAGAAATAATGCATGCATTAATTATATATATTAGTAATCCCTTCTTTGGTGCATATTTTCGTGATTAGTTATATACCACTCTATTGTGTATTGAAGTGAATATTACTAATAACCATGTATTTTTAGATATTAGTAATGCAAATGATTTAATACATGCATTAATATAATTGAAGACACAATTACCCCTGAAAAGTACTTTTATATCTTTTTTTCATCATAATTGTGAAGGATACTTTTGTAAATAAATATTTTTATACAATGCGTACTATTTTTAATACACCAAACCAAACAATGCATAAGAAAGAATTTATGCAGAACTAATACAAGAACAATTAATACATGCATTACTAAATCTCTCTATTGGATATTATTTTTATACACTACCAAACAACCCTTGAGTGGCAAAAATTGAAATTAGTAGACTCCTAAAACGTAACAAAACAAACAAAATGCATACTTAAAAGTGGACAACGAACAAGATTTGGTTGCTATGAAAGCAGAGTCAAAGCGCTAAAATGTCAATATCCTCGTTGATTACAAAAAAAACAAGAAATCATTTGGACTTCCAATCTATTTCTACAGAGAGCTCATAAAAGGGTCCAAAATGGTGAGCTAAACATGTACAAGTATACTCACAAAAGAAGGTAAACACAAGGTGACGCTAGCAAAATGGAAACAACAGCAACAACTACTAGCTCAATTAGACAGCAAAAAATTATGTATCTGTGTCATATCTTCTATCCTGTGCTATCCAATCTTGGATTGCTTCGACAAAGGCTGTTGAGATTCTGATGATGCTGAAGATTCTGGTGATGACGACTCAATGTCATGGGCTGTAACTACAGCAGATAGCATTGATTGTGTCGTTGAATCGTCTTGAAATTTTCTTTTTCTAGAACATACTTGTTTGATATTATTCTCTGTTTCTTTGTTGTCATCCCCCTCGCCTCTCAGGATGAAGTCTCGGAGACGTTTAACATCAGACAGCTTAACAGGCTTCAGGAGAAATTCTTCAGCACCTTCCTCCAAACATCTATAGACAGAAAACATCTATTCAATTAGATGACCATCTTTAAATTCAGTAACTGCGAGATATATACCATAATCAACTAAAAGGCAATTACATACAACTTATGAAGCAACATATGGTTACTTGAACGGTTACAAATGTATGCTCCGCAAGTACTTTTTCAGAATTCAATTCAATCAATAGTCCTCAATTCTAGAGAGCTCATTTAGACAAGAGTACAATATGGCAAATACTCTAAGAGGCAGATACAGATTAAAGAATTATAGTAAATAGGATTAGTACCAGTCTTGCACAAAAACACATGTGCAAAATGTTCTTCCTATGTACATATCGATCGAGTCAAAAGCAATGAGTTTAGTTGAATCTGCCTTAAATCTGCCCTATGGCAAAAGGATTCTACAATGTATTGAAGTGTAACATTTTGTTTGTCTATTCGATGCAGGACCATGTCTTGGACAAACCAGTACAAATGAAGAAAACAATTGATGGTCAAAAGAGGATATACCTATCAATGCGAGGTAAAATCTTCTCAGATGACATAATAACAACGGGTATCTTGCTCAACACCGATGATTCCTGTTCAACAAGAATGAAAGCGTCATTCACAGTTAATGATGACAAGTTACAACAAAAAAAAATAGACCAAAAGAGAAATGAATTGAAACAAAACAAATCCCATCCTCAACTAACCTTGATTTTTTTGAGAAGCTCATAGCCAGTCATCCCAGGCATAGAATAGTCCGTCAGTATCAGATTTACCTTCAAACCCTGAAACCAAAAAAATCCTTTACAACATACTCTCACAAAAGTAAAACCATCAAATCAAGAAAAGGAATTTCTAGCTAATCAAGATTTGATGAAAACATTTTCATCTCATGCAATATAAATAGAAACCACAATCTGTCTATTTTCCATAAAAACTTTAACATGCAACCAAAAGGTCTCATTTTTAACAAGTTAAACAGAAAAGTGTTTATACTGACATCGATCCCCATAGAACTCTTCTC